AATTGACAAGAATTTTTACATTTGATAAAAATAGTATACTATAAAATAAGTGACAACACTAATGTCCAATATATTAGGACTTTTTTTTAAATATCGGGGGGTGTCAAGACATGGAGGACACCCCCCCAAAATACGCCACTGTAAATACGTATTACGTRTTGAAGACATTATTATTGACAAGTAGCAAGCAGACGGATTTTTACTGCGTACCTATATGTGTGTCAGTACTCAGTACACATATTTATATCATACAAATCATTTAACTAGCTGCTACAGTATAAAAATTGCGTGTGTTAAAGGAAAAGGACAAAGGTTATACTGATCGTGTATTGTGTATATGAATCATGAATGCATGTTATAAATTGCGCGCATCCATTGTATATAATCGAAGTATTACCTATTCTGGCTATTCTACAGGGTGATTTTACAGGAAAATCACCCTGTATACCCATAATCTATGTATTTATAATATTTATACATTTTGCGATAGAAAACAAAATAATACACTCAATAAAATAAATTGTTAAACCTATAGTCGTTACAGGGGCATTCCCCTTAAATTCACCACTGCCCAATAGGCGTATCCTGCAGACCTTCATGGATTCATAATACACCTTTAAAGATAAATTTAGATAAATAAATTTAGTCCATAAGAATATAATACACACATAAAATATAAAATGTATGGCATGTCACAAATCCCGTGGCGGGGGGGGGGAGATTTAATAGCTGCACAGGTGATTGTAACTTCTTACCCGAGATTCAGCAGATAACAAAAATGCAAAATATGGGCATATGGTAGTTCTTAGTGTTCCTATGCATACCAAAAAGATGGAATATTACTTATGTATGTTCCTGGTAGACAGAAAAAAATCCAGGGAAAAAAAGCCACGGGAAAAATGATCCACAGAAAAAAAAACCATGTGAAAAATAAGCCACGGAAAAAAAATTAAAAATTACAAAAATCAAATATATAACAATTAAAATTAAAGTATTAAATTTGGTATTATTTAAAAATTTTTTACACATTATTCGTTATATAAAAAATAATTATAATTAAATATATAAAAAAATAAAATTTAAAGTATTATTCAACATTTTTAAACATTAGTCATATTGTATACATATGTATATAATTATTAATACACAGGTTATATGTTAATTAATTTAAAATGTTTAACCTTGTTGATCATACTGTATTGTTCGCATTCATAAATGAAAATAAAATTGTTAATATTATAATGTACATTGAATAAAAATAACATAATATCATTGATTATAAATACTAGTATTTAACCTAACCGTGATTGACTGTGAATCATGATTATTAATATTAATAATATTAGTTTCTTACCCAAAGATATGATATTATGTTTTATGTACACTGTATATGTATTAATATCACTATATGTATAGTTGTCATTGATTAATGATTATACTAGTATTCAATAATAAACTCATTATCAATTTCACCCACTTGTAAAAATAAATCGGGTTACAGTGGTTCGACTGAATTCTATAAATAAACATCGCTTATTCACTTGTACAAAATGTAGAATCTACAACACWTAATATGACTTTCCCTAATGTTGAAATTGCCCTTAAAATTTTTGTTTGTATGCCATGCTCTAACGCRAGTGGTGAAAGATCTTTCTCTGTACTCAAGAGAGTTAAGAATTATTTACGTCCATCTTTGGCAAATGAAAAAACATCGGCATTATCTATTTTAAGCATTGCAGATGAAGTGGTCCGAAGCATAGATTGGAATGATATTGTGGAAAAGTTTGCAAAACTTAAAGCTAGGAAAAAATCTTTTTTATAACCCAAATAAGTAATAAGTTAATACATAATGTTCAAATATTGGAAATATTGTAAAATATTATATCTACCTGTTATAAAGTT